AGTGTCATTTTTTTCCCCGCGCAGGGTAATTTTAGACGGCGCTGGGGAGAAACAATGCTGGGACGCACACAGATGATAGAGGAAGAAGCGTAAAGTGAGGGTAATTGTGGAGCTGTTTCGGAGAATTTCAGGTATAATAAAAATGTTCTGGCAGACAGGAACGGATGAGCAATATTTGTATTACCCCAGAAAGGTTATGCTCGCGGTACAAGAGGTGTAGTTTCAGCGAGTTATAACTAGGTTTAAACTTATGCCTACGTATGTCGGCACCTAACCTGTAATTATTCTACCTACTGAGCCATAAACAACCTCATAATAGTATCCAAACAAAGAAATTGGTTTAAATAATGGCTGAGTTCCTTTGTACACAACAGTACGTGAGCAGGTTAACACAGTTCTCGTTGAACAAATGCTGAACTGATCTCTGGCCCATCAGTGTGGCGTTGTTTCCTTGGGGGATTTTCTTCTGTTAGAACTGTCTTAATGTCTTGTTGAACTGTACGACTTACACACACACACACACACACAAGATGATTAAGGAAAAAAAATATATATTGAATTGAAAGAAGAGGCAGGTGATTAGGACAGTGTTAATGTTATACCAAACAGCAGTAAGTGTGTGTACCATAGTTCCTCCACTGAACACTTGACGAACACTGAGATAACAAGTCACTGGACAATGAAGAGAGATGACACGCTCAGGTTGTACTTATTTCCGGGTGAGTGATTGATTAAGTGAATGACTGGGTGAGTGAGTGAGTGAGTGGCAGAACGAATGACTGACTGAGTGAATGAGTGAGCCGTGATATGAAACACTTGTGGTGAGGTGTTATTAAAAAGCTTCTGAACCACTAAATGAGAAATAATGACTCGAGGAAAAATAACTCAATTAATCCATTTTACCGAGACAATTAGATGGTATTAATTTCGTTATTTTTTTATTTTTATTATTATTATTTTTTTTGCATTACGTCATCGTAACAGTTGATCTTATTAGTGTTGAGATAATGTCTGTGGTGATTAATTATCGTAGTTCAGATATAATGGTTGTAGTGGTTGGCGGTGGTGGGAGGAGGGGGGTGGTGTAAGTGTGGTGGGAGGAGGACGATGAGGGGGAGGTGCAGTAAGTGTGGTGGGAGGAGGAAGATGAGGGGGAGGTGCAGTAAGTGTGGTGGGAGGAGGAAGATGAGGGGGAGGTGCAGTAAGTGTGGTGGGAGGAGGAAGATGAGGGGGAGGTGCAGTAAGTGTGATGGGAGGAGGAGGAGGAGGTGTAAGAGGAGCTACATCTATGAGTGTTGTTCCTCATATTCAAAACAAACACAAACATGGCTGCTCATCCATCCTCACCACCTATGAACAACACCCCTCACCTCCTCAAATCTTCACCCCTTCCCTTCTCCCCTCCCCCTTCAGGTGGTTCACGGGTCATGATAACCCCCCCTCCCCTCTCCTCCCACTCTCCGTCCGTGTGTCTGTCTTCCCGAGTGTCACATAGGATCTGTATATACGACGCCATCTGTCACCCGGATCAAGATGCTGAGAGATAAGATTGTGCTTGGTCCCTTTGCGTCTAACTTCAGGAATATGTTTATAAGTGTTCATTACCTCCTGTTACAATTATTTGATATGATTGGTTATGATTTAAATACGTTTGAGAAATATACGTTGAACAAGAAACCCCTTTTTTTAGCGTTTGTAATGTATGTTTCTTTTATTTAAAACAATTGTAGAAACGTTAGGAAAACTTTTATTAGTAGATGTAGAACGGACTTATAAAACTGAAGAATACTTTAGTTCGTAGTTGCGAAATAATATTCACCTAATTGTTATAATAATAATAATAACTTTAACGATAATAATATTACAAGAGAAAACTGTATCAGGTTGAGAACTCCATCAGTGAAATGTTACATGTTATATCCGTGCACCTTCAGCCGCCGCCGTCGGAGCTAACAGGAGAAACTGGTGTGACGCCCCGCCGTGCCGCCCACCCGTCAGCCTATACACCCCTTGCTGCCAGCCTGCCCCTCGTCCGTCCCCGTCACCCACCTGCCCCGGGGACAGGTTCTCCCAACAACTCTACCAGTCTTAAGGAAAATCACATGAGAATCGTAAGTGAAGAATTCTTTGTACTGTATATTGTGTGGGGTTAGTTTTAATAAGTAATATATTAGTTTGTTTTTCTTATGTCAACAGAAGATCTATATTAAAGATGGTAATTTAACTATGTTGTGGCAATTCAAAGTGAACACGACAAATGCGATTTATATTAAAGAAAAGTCGTGCGAGGTTGATGGTGCACAAGCTCACGAAGGGACAGAGCAGCAGGCCGAGGGTGATGGTGTAGTAGATGCTCCTGAAGGTCCCCAGAGCACCCGGGGAGTAAGATGATCAACAAGGTGCTCATGACTGACACAAACAGCTGTACTTACATGGATTACTGGTTTATGAAAGTAGATGTTTTAATTGGTGAGAGAATGGCGGTGAGCTATTGAACAGGTGAACTGGCCAGACTAACAGAGGAACCAAACAATAATAGTATCACTTGTGCTGGAGGCGTCCCCGAGAAAGTTGTGGTTGTGCGAGTCTGTTTTTAATCTCCTGTTTTAGGCACTCCTCCCCTCGCTTAAATCAGGGGGGAGGAGGGGGACGGGGAACGTGTATAGGAGTAGGAGTAGGCCCATGGTGCTTCCTCGTGAGTGGAGTAGGGTGTAAGGGTGCGGGTAAGGTATAAGGAGAGAAGGTAGACCTTGGATTCGATTTTGTTTCATCATGGTAAAACTTTAGCGGTAGTTGAACCAAGAATAATTTAGTTAAATGATCAGATAACTCAGGGAGAAATCAGGAATATAAACAATTAAGAGGGAAAAGTAACCTAAAACAAGACAAAAAAGAAAAGAAAAGGGAGAACGAAGATTGACGGATAAAGAGTCACAGTCACACACAGAATACAGCCTCCCGTGCCAGCTCCTGAGACACCAGCACGTGCCACACCACCCACTGTTTACATAGTACGTTGATACAGGGGGTGACAAACAGAGAGCGTGTGGTGAGGGCCAGCTGAGTCTGTGAGATTGTAGCGAATACCACTGACTATCACACCAACAAACAACAACATCACGCACCTGTTGTCTCTCTAAAGTCCTCCGGGCAGAACAATGGTCACTTCACCTTGTTAGGGACGGATGTTTTACCGGGTATATACATTTTTTTTAAACCTACCTATTATATGGTTTGTTAATTTTAATATAACCGTAATAATATTTGAGTACTTCAGATTGCACCTACAACAAAGCCCACAGTTTGGGGGTTACTGGTGATTTTTTTTAAGAAATAGCCAGTTGATTTCGGAAATTTACTACGAGAGATGTTAACTGCTCAGCCAGACATGTATACGTGAAGAAGTAAACAAAAAGACGGTCCAGAGTGATATATTACACCAGCGGCAGTTTGAGGCCGGGGAGGCGATCAGGTGTTGTGAAGACAGAACGTGTGTGTGTGTATGTGTGTGTGTGTGTGTAGTAGTAATAGCAAATAATCAGTCAGGTTACGTTTCCACCAACTGCTGCTACCGACGGCGGCGATGATGGAGCGGTGTCTGGGCTACCTCCACCACCACAGTAGAAAGTTACGCGGTATACTGAACTTTTCCTCTCGTATTCCGCAACTAGTCCTAACATGCATGAGTGTATGAAATATTGAAAAGTTTGCCCGAGTCTCTAATATATGTGTATGTGTGTGTGTGTGTGTGTGTGTGTATGTTTGGTAGACTAAACGCCCGCTGCTCGAAATTATTCATTACGCTTCTGATCCTTACTCTTTGTGGATGAAAACAGAATAATAGCACAAGGTTTGAGTCCATTTGACCAACAAGACTCCGCCAATAACCTCGTGGAAGGTAGGACGGATGACTCAACAGTTCCTACAAAGTTGATGAAAATATGATCTTCATCGCCACTGTCTCAAAGTCGGCGTCTCTCGTGTCTCAATACTGCTCCAGAGTAGATATTCTTTCTACAGTAATTTCAGTCGATACATGACTTTTCCTGTAGTGACGACTATATGAATTTTCCCGGGGGGAGGGGGGGTTGGTTGAGGGGCTCTGCTTTATAAGTATCAGCTGGACCATGTGTTGGGAGGGGGAGATGGGGGGCTCGTTAAGGTGTTCCCTCTGGTAAGGAAACCTCCATGTTCTCTAATTATCAACTATTCTTCATTGTGTCGTCAAGTCATTGTGTCATCATAAACATGAGTGAAGCAAATACACAAAAGTAACTCGTGAAACCTTACACACTACAAAAAGTATCTTCCGATGAATTTCAAAGTGAACACTACAACACCTGTTGTCTCGGTATAATTGTCAAAATCCTTCGTCTGTTGTGTCATATTCTCACACAAAATCGCAAAGATACGTTTTGGAGCGAGTGTATCTATAAAAGACCTTATGCTGTGATTACAAGGCTTCGTTTATGATCATTATTAGTAAGGAAGGTAAGAGGGATGGCTGTACAGTGACCACAATGGAGTGTTGGAAGTGATCCACCTCACCCGGCTGCCAACATCTGCCTCTATAGTCTCCGTCTTACTATTATCTGATTACATTGATGCCCAAAAATTATCTTTACCTATTTCATCGATAACCTCTCTCTCTCTTTCTATATATATATATATATATATATATATATATATATATATATATATATATATATATATATATATATATATATATATATTTACTGTGCTAATATACCATCCGTCTGCTGTCTAACGTTCCAATACGAAAATTCATATAAAGGCTTCCATGATGATTTATAATTAATCCCATTACTGTAAGAATGATCTATTATACAACTTAAAGGAGGTGATTATAATTTCTCTAAATGAAATTACAGAAAAGGTTTGGTTATTTCTAACATAGTCCATGTAGAACAGACACAGTAAAAACTCTACCATTTCACTCGAAAGTATCCCATCATAACATTTCCAAATGATAACCATACCTTCATCTTCACTCTAACGTGACAGTTACAGAAACACGTGGATAGAGGAGCCGGTCGTGTAGGTATACGTCAACTCGCTGGCACCACGAGCTACACTATGTTGCCGACTCCTCCAACCTTCCTTATATACTGTACCTTCCCCAGCCGCCGCGGAGGTGAAGAGTGCATTCACGGATGCTCCCCTGAGTGATCCAGTTTCAGATATTTTAGTTCGTCCTCTTTAAAAAGTTGAGGATTTTATTTTATTTTCTAACTCTTTAATGGATGTCCTGTAGTTTTGATTTAGTGATTGATGCAACCTTTTGATTCTTGTGTATGTTTGTTGCTTATATTGGCTAAATTTCTTTTGTTTTCGCGCTGTTTGTGACTGAGGCAACGTCGTGAGCGTAGAGGAAAGGCGAGTCAAGTACGACCTTGCGAAATAATAATGGCACTTGGCACTTCACTGACGCCAGCTATTCCGTTCTGTTCATAACCTCTACACCTCTACCTCACCATCTACGACAATAACGAATGTGGTGAGAGAAGGTGTGTGTGTGTGAGAGAGAGAAAGAAAGTAAGAGTGAAAGAGAGAAAAGTGTGAAAGAGAGAGAAAGAGAGAGAGAGTCTAGTAACGAACAAAATAAAATATATTAATATGTATATAAAATGTATATGGAAAAGAACACACACACACACACACACACACACACACACACACACACACACACACACACACACAATAAATATGTGGAACAAGACTCACTAAGAAATAAGTAAAGACCGCAAACTTAACAACGAAACTTAAATAAACAAAACGAGACTAAACAGTGACCAGATTTGAGTTCACGAGGTCAAAGGTCACCATCGTAAATATGTAAATTGGGTGGGTTTTTTATGTATAGATGGGTGTATTTAAGCGACTGTTTTCTGTTATGGTTCCTGAGATTTCCTGACAAAATTCAATCGTATGTTTGTTCTTTACTTGATGTTTTGGTCGTTCCAACTTTTCCCTTAGAAGTTACCTTTGTGCTCTTTAAGGTGAGTTATATATTACAGGTCATCAGTCAGGTCTCCAGGTGTGTGTGTGTTGTACTTATTGGTTCGAATCCATTATTTGTTCCTGCTTTTTTATGAGGATATATTTCTCCGTCCTGTAGCGTTCAGAAATTATTATAGTTGTTGTCTTTTAATTTCATAATATATTGATTGCGTTTATCGAGTGGAATTTGTTTTCCAAAATGAGCTCATCGATTATATTTGATTTTTATTGTGAAAAACTGGATATTGATTAGCACTAAAAAAAAATTCCCTCAATTTTCGCGACTGTCAATGAATACAGTAAACACAACGTAGTCAGGATAATTATGAAACTTGTGAGTGGTAAGTGCTTCTGGCTCGATAAATTATTGTCACGCGCTTCACTAAATCCTAATTTATTATCACCACCAAGACGAGAAAGAAAATATATCGATACAGTAATAAATCGTCGTTTATCTGATCACAGTCAGCGAACACGGAGATGAGCTGAACGAGAATTAGTAATAACAGAAGGTCGTTTTCTCGATTGTGACGGTGAAAGTTCAAACCGCTCGGCAGACAAAAGAACTTAGTAACGGAGTATCGCTTTTGACAAACACTTTATATTGGAGGTTATTTATAAACGTAGTGATGTCTGATCTCCCAGCAAGACACAGCTTTTTTTATATTAATTTCAACTATATAATAAACTGGATAGGAAGTTACAGTACTTTGAAATAGGACCAAAAATAGTGGATGCAGCATAAACTTTGATACTTTCTGTAGTTGACGCATGCTAGTTGAAAGTGGTGGTAAACATGGTAGAGTGATGAGTGTGTTTGTGTCTCTCAAGCTGGTTGTGTCTTACTCATTGGCTGCTTCTGTTTCTTGTTTACCTCCCTCTCACCTTGTAAGATACTAGTAACTCATAATAAAATGATAGGTAACACACACACACACACACACACACACACACTCTCTCTCTCTCTCTCTCATTACTGTTACCTGGAGGCGAGTATGATGATCATCCAGCACTGGTAGATGATGGGAATTTCTTTAATGGTTCGTGTCATCGTCGTTGGTGAGGTCTGAGGTGACTCGAGAGGCCAGTATGAGATCGGCAGAGTCGTCCTCACAGGTTAAGTATACAGTTAAGTATAGTCAGTACGGTCACTTTAGTTTCCTGCAAGTCACTGTAACAGCCTCAGGCAGTTTTACTTGACGTTAAACAACAATATCGTGATCGTGCCAGAAATACCTGACCTGATCTGAACTAATATTTTGTTGCGGTAAACAAGACATTTATTATAAGTTATTTCTTCAGGTCTGGGCTGGACAACCTTCAGTTGAGTTATAAAGCGAATACAAAGTTTTCTGTTTTCAGGAAGGAAACTCCTTGGTTAATAACACCTAATTGGCAGGTTTCACTTTCTATAATAAACAAATTAGCATACTGTATATATATATATATATATATATATATATATATATATATATATATATATATATATATATATATATATATATATATATATATATATATATATATATATATATATATATATATGTGTGTGTGTGTGTGCAACTAGTTCACTAAGTGCGCGTGATCCACATATATACTGATAACTACACAGGGAAAATAAAACACGAAGTTCCCAAGCGCTTTTTTGTAATTCAAATCTAAGTGAATTACATGAAAGTGCTTGGGAACTTCGTATTTGATTTTTCGTATGTGGTTGTCAGTATATATGTGGATCACGCGCACTTACAGAGATTTATTTGCATGCATATATATAAATATTTAAATACACACAAGCAGACAGGCAGGAGGAAAATAAAAAAAGTTGATCACTCGCGTAATAAGTTTTTGATAGTCACACTGGCCACAACAGGTGTGGCATTAGTGATGACCACCGCTGGCGGCCTTACATCACCTAGTCCCGCTGCCTCATCATGGTGGCCGACACCAGGTGATTCCAGGTGCTGTTTCAGCACAGGTGTGTGGTGGCCTTGGCACAGTGCCACTGCAAGAGTTACACCCCAGCACTTTCATAGGCTGTGAGGTACACACACACACATCACGACACACACACACAAACCTACACAACGACACACACATTGATCTGATGAAACATTATTTTTGTGATATTAACTCTGACAGCGTCAAATAAAAATAGATAGTTCTTGTTTTAAGATTTTAGGTAATTGTTAAAACCAGACAGTTGAGTGAGAAAAATGAGAATGCCGCCAACAAACTCGCTGTATTAACAATATAGATCTTACACACGTCTTGATGGCCTGTCTCTCATAAGACTCCTCAAAGATGTTGTGTTCCTTCATCTGTAACACTGTACTGTAGTTCTGCTAACTCCTTGGGCTGTACTACACACTGCCAGTTGACTTTGAACATTGTGAGGAAGGTTACGGGACTCGTGCACCTTAAACACCATGAGAGTTAAAACGTGTACATGGCCAGTTTATGTTGTTTAAAAACAAGGCGAGAGTTAATGGAGTTTATAAACCGCTCAATAGTTGGTAGTCTGTTAATAGTCGTTTTTTGTCAAGGTTCGGCCATTTTGAATTACTGTATATCAGGGGTTCTCAACCAGGGGGGAATTTCCCCCCTCAGGTTTTCAGGGGGGGAAAACTGATACTAATATGGAAAAAATAAAGGATTTTCAGTATTATATGCACATTATTTAGAATGCGCTTTTTGAGGCAGACAATCTTGGAAAGGAGGGGGGAATGACATTCTGACATATGGTGAAAGGGGTGCATGGGGCAAACAAGGTTGAGAACCACTGCTGTATATGAATGAATATTCTGAATGAGGTACATCGTCCCCGGGAGGTGTAGAGGCATCCGCTAAGTCTCACCGAGAATAACCTTGTTTACAAACGGACGGACGGACGGATGAACCTATAATCTGTACCACAATTATTATTTGAAAATTACAGGTTTCTCATCAATGAAAATATTTGTTACGTTATTATACAATCTGATATATAGTTGTGTACTCCCTCGTGACTCAGAGTCTGCCTGTTTGTCTCTATTACGTTATTTTCTAACCTGTTATTTAAATTTGCGTTTTCCATCTTGGTGTTCACCGTTCGTGACGCTGCACACATCATGCGATAGAAATTGTATTCATTATTTTGCTTCAGAAGAGAATGATGCGTATCAAGAACCAGGACGGAGATTGATAACCAAACTGACAGATAAAACCAGACAGAGACGTTTGTGATATTGTTACACCGTTGTTGTACCTCGGGTATAGTGATACACCTCCACCCCCCCGGGCAGGTACTGGGTGAGGCAGTACCCCACAGGTCATTCATAAGGACCATGTTTATTTTGAAGTGAGGGAGAAAACGTGAACAAGAGAATGGGAGCTGGAAGAGTGGAGGATAAGGGAAATACACCTGAAGGATGAAGAAGCGGGGAGGAGTGGCATGGTGAGGGACTTGATAGACCAGTAACGTTAAGGGTTATATTTGTGGTGGCTTCCGATATCTCCAACACGATGTTATTATTCATTGTAAAGCTCTCTCTTGGTGTTGGTCTGAGTTCCTTAATGAATTGGGCAGCAGGAAGAGGAGGAGGAAGAAAAGTAAGAGGAAGATGAGGCGGAGGAAGAGGAGAAGGGGGGAGAATAGGAGGAGGAGGCGGAGGAGGAACTCAAAAACCTACGAAGACATTTTCATTGTAGTTTTCCTTGACACGACTACAGCTGTGCGTCCTTGTGATAATAATAGTACTGAGCTCCACAAAAACAGCCGGGGTGACACCCATCTGTTTACGACCTAAACAACTGTTGTCTTATAGGTCTGTGTGAACCCTTTTGTTATTGTGCGTAATACTCATCTTGGCGGGTAAAGGGGGGTGGGGCTGTGTAAGGTGGATGTGACCCCCCTCTTGTTGCTGCCACCCACCACAAGTCGCCTCCCATTGTAGTGCATTGTTCCTTAGGAGATTGGTGACCTGTCCGGGCCATGGTGCAGCGCTTCCCTCTCACCTCTACCAGTGTTCACCATTACCTGAGTGTTCTGTTCCTCACCAGGTGTAGTCACCCACTCACTATTGTTGTTG